CACGGCAGCACTCTACCGAGGGTGATAAAATGAGACTGCCCAAAAAAAAAGAAAGAAAGAAAAGAAAGAGGAAAAAGAAAGAAAGGAAAGAAAGCCTAGTCAGGCTTGTGGCAGCTACAGTAGCTTGTAGTCTCAGCTACTTGGGAGGCTGTGGCAAGAGGGTCACTTGAGTCCAGGAGTTTGAGCTTGTGGGCTAAGATTACATCACGGCATCATGGCACTCTATGCAGGGTGACAGTGAGAGTTTGTCTCAAAATTTAAAAATAAAATAGAAAAAGAATTATGGTATCTTCCATACCACAAGAGACTGAAGTAGATACATACATACTAAGTTACTATAATCCCATCTCTGCAGAAAACCCCGGGCTGTCACGTGTATGTATAGGATGGGAGAGCTGCACACAGGTTGGGGGCAGTGGACTCCACAACCTTTCAACCTTTACAATGAAAATATATTCATATACTATTGTGGCATACATGAATTCTCAAACATTATCTGAATAAATTTTTCATCTTTGGAAAGGTAAAAAATATATATATATATTCGTATATGAATTGTCTAATAAAAATACAAATATAAATATTTATAAATGTAGACTATATGAATATATTTAAAATATTTATACATGCATATCTGACACAAATGTATTATATGTACTATATATAACCCAAATCTGTAAAAATATCATAGAAAAATCTTAATATGCCAATAACAGTGGATTTCTTTTTTTCTTTTTCTTTCTTTTTTTTTTTTTTGCAGTTTTTGGCTGGGTCCAGGTTTGAACCTGCCACCTCCACACTATATGGGGCTGGTGCCCTACTCCTTTGAGCCACAGGCATCACCCTTTTCTTTTTTTTTTTTTTTTTTTGAGACAGAGTCTCACTTTGTCACCCTTGGTAGACTGTGGTGGCATCATAGCTCACAGCAACCTCAAACTCTTAGGCTTAAGCGATTCTCTTGTCTCAGCCTCCCAAGTAGCTGGGACTATAGGTGCCTACCACAACACATGGCTATTTTTAGAGACAAGGCTTCACTCTGGCTCAGGCTGGTCTCAAACCTATAAGCTCAGGCAATCCACCGGCTTTGGCCTCCCAAGTGCTAGGACTACAGACATGAGCCCTTGCACCCGGGCCTAACAGTAGATTTCTTTTTTTTTTTTCTTACTTATACATGTGTATATTAGGTTTCCACTTTTGCCTTCACAGAATTAAAAAGGCTAAATTTAATGACAATAATAATGTTTAACATAAAGACTGAGAATAAAAACCTCATAAAGAACGAATGAAGATAAATACATTCAGAAAAGAAATCAGACGATTGCTGCAATGAAATATTAAGCAATAATAATAGTAATAATGCAAAGAAAGTAACATTCACATTGTCAGATAGGAGTATGTCTATTATAATAACAGTGGATTTCTTGAGGCAGATAAGACTTTTGCAAATTTTTCCATCTCCTTTTAATTTCATCACTCTAGAAGGCCAAGATGGGTAGATTCCTTGATCTCATGTGTTCAAGACCAGCCTGAGCAAGAGTGAGACTCCACCTCTACTAAAAAAGAAAAAAACTAGGCAGGCATGGTAGGAGCCTATAGTCCTAGCTACCTAGGTGGCTGAGGCAAGAGGACTGCTTGAGCCCAAGAGTTGAGGTTGCTGAGAGCTATGACACCATGGCATCTACTCACGGCAATAGAATAAGACTCTGTCTCAAAATATAAAAACAAACAAGCAAAACATTTCTGAAATTGGTATACAGTTTACAATTGTATTGGTAGTGTTTTTTTCCTTGATGGTATGTAAAATAATGATGATTTTTTTTTTTTGAAGCCGAGCCTCACTTTGTTGTCCCTGGTAGAGTACCATGGCATCATAGCTCACAGAAACTTCCAACTCTTGGGCTCAAGTGATTCTCTTGCTTCAACCCATCAAGTAGCTGGGACTATAGGCACCTGCCAAAACACCCAGCTATATTTAGAAAAGGGGTCTCACTCTTGCTCAGACTGGTCTCGAACCCCTAAGCTCAGGCAATCCATCTGCCTGGGCCTCCCAGAGTGCTAGGATTACAGATGTGAGCCACCATGCCCAGCCAATCATGATTCATTATTGATGGCATTTCTAGATTTAATGAAACATAGTAGAAAATATGTTTAAAATCCATACACCCCAGACCTCCTGTTCTTTCCACTTTACCAAGGTAATTTGCTGAATCTTTCAGAAACATATTTAGCCCAAAACATGTATTATAATTTTGTGTGGTAGATGAGTTTGAGGAATCATTCTCCATTCAATTAGCAAAAACACAGGATCAGTAAGACCTGATTTCCCTTGCAGAGTGTACAAACATTTATAAAACAGACTGTGGCATGGGCTGAGAACTGGAAAGATGGATAGAGAGATCACCAAAGTACAGAGCCTACCTGTGACTCCCTGACAGTCAGATAGGCGCACAGAGGTCAGGAGGATGACGGCAGCACCAGATTCATTGCTTCTCACATGTGGACAAAGACAAAAGTGTCTTAGGTTTCATTCCTCTCCTTGCTCCTTGTCCCTGACCCATGACAGGAATTGGAAATACTTCCTCAATGAATGAGTTAGGGAGTAGCTTCGTGTCGCCAAGGCCCATGGGCGCCATCTTTGACTCTGAAATGTAGGAAGCCTTTAGAAAATAAATGAAGATAGGCTCGGCGCCTATAGCTCAA